TGTGTCAGATACTCCACCAGAAACATTCAATCCTCAGAGAGAATGCTTGCCTCCCTCCCAGGATTATTGTGAAAGTTGAGTGAGGTAATATTTGTAGGTTGTTTATGGTAGGGCACTATGAATCTTTACAAAGATAATCGTGACTATCTCATTAAATCTTTTATTAAAGAACATTTTGAGGTGGAATCAACTTTGCCTAGGGGACACAGCTGAGGCCTAGGTAGTTTATGTAACATACTCAAGCTTATCCCAATAAATACGTAGAAGGAAGGACTGGAATCCAATACCATTAAATATTAGTTTGCCTGCACAGATGGTGTTTTTTCCACTAAGTCATGCTGAATGCCTTCTCTATTGCAAGAAATTTGACATCTAAACATTTAGGCATATTGGTCCACAGTTCACCATATGAGACCATCTCAAGATAAAATTTAAAGAAGGTTTTGGAATGTAGCTCAGTTGTAGAGTGCATGCCTAGTATGCGTGAGGCCCTGGGTGCTATAAATGACATACAATTTATAAAAGTTTAGAAATATTCCCACCCTAATAGCAGTATTTTTCAAAAATAATTTATATGCCATATAGCATGCTTTATATATGGCAAACAAAAAGCTAATCCAAAGTGACAATATGTGGGCAGATAATGACTCACTTGAACATATCATGTAGGTTTTACATGGAAGGTATTGTTATCTATGAAAAATTGAGTTTATTAACCCTTTGCTGTGCCGCAAAACCACAGCAGGAAGCACTGACAGACCAATAATGAGATCAGCTCAATTCTCCACCCTGCAGGAGTGAGAGCTTTCTATCTCATAACAGCAATTTGGATGACTTTATATAATATAAAGTAGAGATGAGAATTATACTCCCCTCCCACATATCAATGGAAATGCTTCCCATGGAGTGACTCAGCCTGAAATCCCAAACAGGAGCATGGTCACAGCGTGCTGCAGGCAGCCACAGCAGGCTCTGCATTAGCTGCCTGCAGCCTTTGTGGGGACAACATAGAACTAAGGCTGCCAATAGCATCAGAAGCTTCTACCTTGTGAACAGAATTTAGGCTTGTAGCAGGGGGGAAAAAAAAAGATACCAATTCTTCATGTTCCAAAATGCAGCCCTTTTTCTATTTGATCAACAACAAGAGAATACATTCATTCACCCTCCGTTAAATAGTTATATCACTAAGAATTTGCCAGGCACTTCCCACCTTACTTCACATATAAAATTCATACAATTTAATACTTAAAACTGGTACAGAAAATGTTAAGACACTCGCCAAAAACTATCTAAGGTAGAGTGAGACTAGGATTTTTAACATGAGCTGCCTGATGTGCTAGCTGCCTATCCAGGAATGCTGGACAAGCTTTGCCCTTTCTTTATATCCAATTAATTTTATGAACAGCCTAGAAGCCAGAAGGATGGGATATATTGCAGTGATGGTAATGAGAACCCCAAATCAGATAAGTAACTTGTGGAAATGACTTTTATGGTATCCTCTAGGTTCACCATTAAATTTTTGGCTTTTCTACGATCTCAATTATTTTGCCCATCAGTTCCAAAGCCTCCCTCCATCCAAAACCAACCAACCAACCATAAAAACACTTATTTAATACACAACATGCGTAATCTTAGTGTGTTTCAAACAAAGTTTTAAATCTATAAATTTTAAAAAAGATTTAGTCATTTAAACATATAAAAAATTTCTTATTGAAAAAAAACAAAATAAAAGTAAATCTAATATACTACTTTTCTAATAGAATATAGAGGAATTTCATTTTGCCAATATTGCATTACAACCTGAAAAATCTGATCCTTAAATACCCCTAATAGCTGATCGCATGCAGAAAACAGTATGGAATGTCTACTAAATTTAGGATCTTCAGATTATAAGTATGTTTCCATTTATTTTTTGGCTATGGCAATTTATTACACAAGCAGACATTCTAATTGTTTGATACACTTTGCTTTTGAATTATATGGAAAACTTCTTGGGAGAAAAAAAGTCTAGAACATCTCATGTCATGTTGACTATTTAAAAAGGGAAGTAAATGCAATGTTCGTGGAACCGGAACTATTTTTTTTTTTTTTTAATTCTCGGTTAATGTGTATGTAATATGCCTTCTCATGAAATCCATTCTAATAATGTGCTTTCCCCCACTGTGTCACTTTTCATTACCAGTTCACGGAATACTTACTAAACTTAGTCTCAGTTCATTGCAATTTTTACATTTATAAAAATGTTTATCACCCCGTTTGAGCAATTCCACAAATTGGTTAATTCAAGCATTCTTCCATATAAAGATGATCCTCTGCATATAATAGTTAGACTTAAACATTTTTTTTTTTTTTTTTTACTTTATGTTGTTGGTGAAAAAGTGACACAAACTCAGGAAAAGCCCCACCTCAAAATCTGAATTTTGATCTTATCCCTGGCTAACAATAGGTGGTATAATACTCTCTGGCAATGCTGGGCAGTGGCAATGAGCTATAGCTCCAATCAGCCATGTGATCACAAAGATAAAAAAGCCATATATTCTACTGCATACTGTGTTACAAAAATATAATGTTTGTTTGAGTTTGTTTTTAAGTTGCCATGTTTTCAACTAACAATGGGTTCATTGGGATACAACCACATTGTAAGCCAAACTATACCCCCATATTCCTTAAATAATAAAATACAGTTGGCTGCTTATATTTAATACTTCAGAAGAAATGTCCCTCTGCTTATCAATTCAAATGGAGTTTCTGTATCTGATAAAGAGTAATTACAGATGATACTTTAGCTATCATAGCAATAATGTGCCTATTTTATATTAATGCTTCCATAGGCATTTTTCTTAAGCGTACCTAAACACTAGAGAATATACTTTAAAAATACAGTCAAGTATTATCATAATTAAAACCCAACTCAATGTTTCTTTACTTAAAGGATCTTATCACCATAATCCCCCATCCTCCAAGTCAAATCTGTACCTAAATTAGACTTTTTTCTCTCTCTCCTCCTCATTTCTCATATTTGATCATTTCCCAAGCTCTTCTCTGCTAGTTTCAATGTTACAATATCTGAATCACTAATTTTCTTATCATCTTTCATAATCCACATTAGTCTACACCAAGAGCTGGCTAACTGGTCCAACTCTAGTCTCTTTCCATTAGTATTACTCAAGTTTGGATGCTAAGTATTTCCCAAAGGTCATGAGTATAAAGCTTAGTCATTAGCTGGGCACTACTGCTGGTTGGTAGAAATTTTAAGAGGTGGGAATTAATGGGAGGTTTTGTGGTCACTGAGGAGCATGCCCTTGAATGGGTAATGAAACCCCCCTAGCCCCTTCATCTTTTCTTTTTAACTTCCCAGCCATCAGATGAATGACTTTGCTCTGCCATGTACTCCTCACCATGACTTGCTGCCTCGAACAGGGCCAAAAGTAATGGGTTCCACTGTGCATTGAAACCTCCCAAGATGTGAGCCAAAATAAACCCTTCTTCTTATAAACTTATTACCTCAGCTATTTGTTTTAATAACAAAAAAATTGACAAACCAAACCCCAAAACATTTTCTCAGTCGCAAAATTAAACTTCTTGAAGCATACTAGTATTCCCGTCACTCTACCATTTATAATCCTACAATGATACTTCACTGCCTGATTCTAGTTTAATCTTATGCATTTTGATTCATTTTTATGACTTTAACTCCACTTAACCTCAATTTGTGATGTGACTTATCTCCCTTCCTCAAAAGTATGGTCAACTTTTCTTTTTTTCCCTACCATTTGCTTTGTCTTTCACCTTAAACCAAATTTTTAAGTTACTTTAAAAATCTGACTTTTTCCACAAAGACTTTCCTATTCTTTCCCACCTCTGAGTGAAATCCAAAGCACCATATGGAGTACTTAGCATTATTCCAGGAGCATAATATGTACCCTGTAAACGAGATACTATTCACTACTTTAATCACATTTACTTTTTTATGTTCTAAATTCCTCTTTTGCATTTAACCTTTTCCTCTTCTTTGCCTTCATATTATTCAACTCATACACAATGCTCATCTATATGCCACACTCTCTCTCTGCATGAGTAGCACCAGATGCTTTGATTTTTGCCTCTTTTACTGCTGTGTGCTACTGGTTCTTTTCTTTGTTCCATTTCTTTATTCTGACAATCACAATGTTATTCCCTCTACTCTCAACATTGTTATTACATCTATGCCTTTTTTTTCTACTTATCCTCCCAGCCTTTTATTATTTCCTATTTATTATTTGCTTTTTTTCTCTCTTGAGTACCTTGACCCAACTGCTGTTCATATTTAAGGCCTAAATTTGCTTTAGGAAGAATGATGTATTTCTGAAAATCTATAGTAAACACAAAGTTCTTATAAATAAAATCATACTGCCCATACATTTAAAAAAAAACTTGTGTTAAAATACCATTTTATGCATTGAATTATCATGTCCTATAATTGTTACTAATACACACAATGACAGGTTGGCTTAAGGTCTTGACAAGTTCTCTGTCTTTGCAGTCTCTCATTGTAGTGCTCTAATGTAACTATGACTCCCTACTTCCAGTCCTTTTGAAATGATAGGTTAACAAAAAGAAAAGATGAGTCAGGCCTTATGGACTCAAGCCCTTTACTGCCTTTTCCTTCTCATTACTGTCTTTGTGTTCCTGTTGGTGCTCTACTTTCCTACTATAGTATCACCAGTTTCTATTCTGCCAGTGTGTCTTTGTTTTGCTTCTACTACAGGTGGAGTGTTCCCCAAGCTTAGTTTTGAGTCGCAGAGCCTGTTTTTTTTTTTTTTTCTTCTAGATTTGATATTTATCTTTTCCTTTCTCTCATGCCAAAAATGTAGTCATGAGTCAGCCTACTTGTGAACACAAGACAGATCTGCACCTGTACATATTTCTGATATACAGTATCTATGATCTTTTCTTATAAATGAATGATACCTTTTTTAACAAAAGAGCCAAGAAGTCATATTATCAATGTGAATACTTACACTCAGCATATTTCTGAAGTTGGGAAAATTCTGAGGGGCTGAGGTGGGCCCATTTTTCCTGATTTGTCATGGTGGAGATAAGTTCTCTTTCATACCAGGAAAGGGATTCTTTATTCAGGTGTTGGGCAGAACTCTATGCTTCAAAGATCCCAAGTGGCATGTTTCATGATGAAATATATGAAGCTTTCAAAACACACAATCTGTCCACATAAAACTGCTGTAGATGTTTGTAGTTTCAATAATGTGTTAAAGCACTGAGAAAAGAAAAACATAAAAATCAAAAGATTAGCATTATTGCCCCAAGGAAAAAAGTTAGCAAGTTATAAAATAGTAAGGATTGTCAATTTTGAAATCATATATTTCAAAGTTATTTTGAATAACCTTTAATTGCTTTTTCATTCTTTAATGGCATTTTAATACATAGTTCCTAATCATTTACATGAATGAAATTAAAACAAAATGTAAAGGAGTCAAAATAAGCACTATCACCTCCTAAGTATACAATTTCTAATTTACTAGATTTCCAGCAATTATTTGGAATGGAGTTCAGCTATAGCATGTACATTTGCCATCATGCAAGTAAATTCTGGGATTCTTGTAACATTTTTCTAGCTATCAAATGAAGACAATAACTTTAGTTTTAAAAATCGCAATACATTTGCCAAATTAAAGCAATTCCAAATGTTTGAAAGCCTTGCTTAATGATAGTAGATGATTCTAGGGTGAATCATGTTTTTAAATAAATACTTAGGTTGTCATGGACTTAGATTCACTGGCAAATCTGTAAAGACAAAGTGAAAACCCATCTGGTTTCAACTTTTTTATCAGAGACTATAATCAATTGTTCAGCAATCAACCCAACTAGCACTGTAATCTTTAAAGAAAATGAAGTATTTAGAAGAAATTGCTTAGTTTCTGAAATTGCATCACTGAAAGGCTTATTTATACAGTGACATTAGCTAATGTCAGACTGTTTATTCAGACAAGGCTCATTTGGTTTTAGGCCCTTGCCTTTGCTTACCATCTCTTTATTGTTCTACAGTATCAATCCCAGGACCCCAAAGTCACATCTTTATTACCTTGTTTTTAACAAGAATAAATAAATAAATGAGTAAAAATAAATTTAAACCTGTTCTTTTTGGTCTTATTTGTTCAGGGTTCCTGTACTCAGCTTTGTAAGGTGGTAGTTTGTTACTTAATGAATGAAGAAGAGTGATCTTAGTGTGTTAACGGAAGATAAATTGCAAAGCAAACTGAAACAAATGGGGACATGTGATGGACATTTCTTGAGTCATCCACCCAGTTTCTTTCTGCAGATTCCATTCGTCACACTGATTTCATCCTAACATTTTGCTTCTCTTCAGTTACACGCAGTTTGGGTATAAAACGACTTGTTCTGCCCTCCCCTATCCAAAGAGGGACAGATGATTCAGTCACATTTGGCACATTACAGTCTCCTGGGGCTTTAAATGTGGAGTGCAGAGTGATTCAAGGACAGGGTGAAAGAAGTTGTAACGAACTCATTACAGAAATAATTGGATACCTTTGCCTGTCTGAGCCTGGATCTCCAGCTATCTTGTCCTTTCCAGAAGTTAGTGATATTCTTTAATAAAGGATTAAATGTGGCCAGGCGAGATGGTGCACGCATGTAATCCAAATGGCTTGGGAAGCTGAGCCAGGAGGATTGTGAATTCAAAGACAGCCCCAGCAAATTAGCAAGGCCCTAAGCAACTTAGTGAGTT